TCGCTCTTCGCAGGGCTCTTCATATAATATAATAAATTTAAAAAAATCCGTCTTTACATAATAAATTAGGCCAGTTTTGAGATGATTTACTGAGATCAAATTTTTTTTGTTTGGATTTTTTGCGACGTTTCTATAAATTTATGTTTTGCGTGCACAATAAGTCTATCGTATAGAATGATATAAATTTCAATTTTATTTGTAAGGTATGCTTACAATAACTCGTAGTTCACTAGAAGGCACAAAAACATTGAAAAATTACATTTTTCTGTTAATTTTTCCGTCACTAAAATACAAGCATGAAACTGACAGTCATTTTAACCATGATATTAAGTTTATAAAATTTAAGTTTGATTTAGGTTCTACGGGAAACCTAGATTGGGCTGTGGTATAACGCTCGTTACTGCTGACACCAGCATTCGAAGGCGCTTTGCAAAACACATATATGAAATATTAACTCTCTCTATCGCTCTCTTTTACACGTGTTCCATGTTCCAAAAATTATATTTTTTGATATTGATAGTAGGGGGGTAGATGATCACGTTTAGCTCGACAATTTTCTGACCCCCTGAAAATTCTCTTGGCAGATGGCTTTTTGATCCCCGTTCGAACGTTTAATACATTAGAAAATCACACATAATGTCAATTTTACCACGATATTCAATTCTCTCTACCGCTTTTTTTTACATGCATTGCAAAAGATTTTAATTTTGATATTGATAGTAGGAGGGTAGATGATCATAATTAGCTCAACAATTTTCTACGTACCCCTTCGAAGAATTCACTACAAGGTACTGAACTTAGCATATCGAAAACGAGGATTTAATCCAGGTAGTCAGGATCCCTTTGGGCAATAAAGCACTTGCCTCTAAAGTGGAAGGGGTGCAGTGTGCGCTCAAATTTCTTTTTAAAAAAATAACGAAAAAAATGATTTTTCCTCATGGAATATGTTTTCTCAATTTTCTCATACATGAACTGCAGGATCACTATCATCCCAAACTTAGGCTGCCTATCTACAGCTAGCTCCGCCTGAGAACAGGCCCTAAGCTAATTAACCGACATTTTAATTCCTACATCGACGATTTTAGTCGAAAACACTGAGTATGCTTTTAGTAATTTTTGGAAGTATTTATTTCTCTTCTATTGTCATATTGAATGAAGTTAGATATGTTTATTTAGCCGCTGTGTGTATGAAAGATGTCACACTAATCAAAGCCGCATCACAAAATAGTCCTCTAATTATTCAATATGGCGGCGCCCATGAAAGATAATTTCACAGATCTGAGGCGTTTTTGTCAACTAGGGCAGTGATCATAATCTCGACTCGAAGTATGACGTAGATGGATCGCTGCGTCTAGATTTGGATCACTATAGGCGAACGTAGGTGGAGGGGGGCTGCCCCCTAAATTTCGGGCAATCTGATTTTTCGGGCAGACGGGAAAAGTGAAAACAAAAATATTATTTCATCTAGTTGGCAAAATAAAGTGCCGAAATCTATTAAACCACTAATTGGATGGTTGGAATTCAGGTCATTTGATTGCTTGTTTGGGAATATTTGGGATTCCGATAAGTCACCTTGGCTTCTCGCAGACGACCGGCACCACCGTCTGTAACCCGAAGTTTTTCGGGCATTTCAGGTCCCCCCCCCCCCTTAATATTGATAGAGTCTGCACGCCTATGCATCACGGGACCATTTTTTGTATAAATAATATTTTTTTAAAACAATATTTTATTCAGAAATTGAAAGGGATTGAGGAACAGGCACAGCCTATATGACCTCTCTCCTAGATACAAGAATATGTAAAAGAAATAAGTTAGTAAGAAACAAAACAACACAATGAATACTTAAAGATACAATATGTAAGATTTAGATAAAGAGCTCACCATTCTTGCTATAATAGCTCAAATTAAAATACAGATGTGACGTCACCCTTTGACGTTGGCGTACCATTATTTCAAATAATCGTACGGGCAACTTGCCAATCGTACCTTGTCAAATATTAGACTCGAGTGACGTATTTCACTGTAAACGCACGTGCGGGGTGTCTGTATTTTAAGATGTTTAATGGTCTCGAGCTGAGACATTGCGTAATATATTGTAAAAACACTCGGACCTGACGGTCCTCTTGTTGTTACAATATATTACTTAATGCCTCGCTCTCGACCATTAAACAATACATAGATAATGTAAAATGAAAATTTCATGCAAATTACTCTATACTCAGTCAAATTATCACTGTATGTAGTTTTGACAAGGCGTGAGCATTGTGGTAACCAGGGCACTGGTATATTCGAGACTTAGCCCCGTCTTCCCATCTTTAAATTAAATTTTTAAATGGCGGACCGTTCTAATCTAGTTACAATCTCGAGTATCCGTTGTGAATGAGAGTTGATTATGGTCTAGTTAATAAATGCCTAACATTATATAACATTTAAGGCCCAAAGAAAGACCTGCAATAGGCACATTTAGCTCTTATACAATGCATGTTTAACCAACAACATTTTGTATATACATATTTATACATTGGCTACACAGTTGGTCATGTTCGCATTTTGATTTTGATCGATATAGATGTTACACTGATCTTAAACCCTCCTGCTGATGTCAAAAAACAAGTGTACCTTTTTCAAACATGCTAAGAAGTATGACTGTTGCTTAAAGTTGCAATTTCATATTTTTAAGTTATATTTTTAAAATTTATTAAAATAAAGCCTTAAAATAGATGGTATCTATAAACAGTCCTACCTTGTTAAAGAATAATCCTATTAATCCTATAATTGACAGTTGAGAAATTGGAAAAAATATCATTTTCATCTTCAAATTCCAACGTTTGAAGATAACTACTCCATGGCGGAGAATAGAAAACAAGGGAGGTAATTAGGTGGTAATTGTGTTATTATTTCCGGTGTAAATGAGTTTTACGTGTGAGGATGACACCTATGATCGTATAATAGTGAGTTGACAACCTATTGAGCAAAAGACAGAAATAATTATGTTTTGACTTTCTTAGAAAATATGAAATTGTAACTTTAAACCACATAACAAATTATGTGGATTGATAAAATTGGGTGGTTAAAGATTTATAGATATATTGCGTGCATCAGAATGTAAGGAGCAATGTAAAAGAAAATGATCGGTATCTTCGAAGGAATGACCACAATCACAATCTTAAAAAATTTAAAAATAACGTTATCATCCAAATGTATAAATAATGAATAACATTAACCATATTTATCGTTGATGTTATACATAACGTATACAATTTCACACACCGTCTTCTTTATATTATATATTATATTGTATTATAATTGGTATAATTATTCACCAAGGAAGTTACTCAGATATCTATTTTACACGTGGCGGCGTTAAAGGGCCAATCTCGATTATATTTTGGAGAATAAAACTACGTAATTCTGTGTTAAAAGCCCTTAAAATCCCCTACCTTAGTGCCAGGCAACTAACTCAATATAATATTTGATACGTTTTAAAACAACAGCTTAAACCCGTCTTCATCTGGAAACGAAGACCGGTGTAAAACCAGACTTTTATTTTATAAACATAACGTGTGTCGTGTAGGTGAAACTTACCTGTCGTTATCAAGCACAGCACCGTATAGTACTCTACAGCAACGGCAGTAGATTATCAGGTCACCCAATGAGAATATTCACCCGAAATCTTAAAAGGGTTACGTGCCCGGATTCAATATTTTGAGCTAAAATTTTGAGACAATGTAAATACACCATACGTACACGGACTTTAATTTCTGAGACTTTTAAAATCGGGATGGTCCCTTTAAAGGTCAATATTGATGTCAGCCATTATCTCATGTGAAAGAACTGGTTAAAACACGTTCCAAATATAATTTTGACACATAGATCATTGCTAATATAGATGCGTAACGAATATTTCAAGAAAAGGAGGTGAGAAAACAAAGGAAAACACGTGTTATCCCTCTATATAACTGACTTAAAGTAGCTAAGTCTCTAACTCAATATCATCCAAAATCTTCAACATTGAAAACACGATTTATTTGTCAAATTAAATCAACATTCATGTTGTGATCTTACCGGGAAAAGATGGACTTTTGATATCCAATATTTAAGACAAAATGAACATTTTACCATTGGTACACGAATCGTGTACCATAATGCGCTTCAGTCCCAGTTGTATCAAGAGACTCGAGGGACGAGGCTAGACACATTGCACCAAATCAAACGGCGTATGTAGACTGGAATAACCAGACGCTAGAAATTTGCACTCGCCTGAGACTGCTGGCTTATTTCGCCGAACATAACTGATTTGAAATTGGAGTAAAAACGGAAACCATTGAATGTAAATCAGTTTATATACATTCATATTACAGTATTATATGCGTTGCGACCCACTTTTGTCAATTTCTAGGTCCCAAATGTTAGCGATTTAGCTCCTTTAAGTAACGAGAGATAACAGATACACAGGCAAATTTCCACTCACTGATAATTCCGTTGTGGGATAAAGTTGTTATATGAGGTGTTTCGATAGAAATAGAAGATGTTATTACAACCGTTTTAATGATAGGTCCCACTATCACGCTTCGCACTAGGAAAACGTCTTTTCGGTTACTACCCCCACCTATGTACCAAATTCGGTCTAAATCTAATGATGAATCCTTAGTAACTTTTACCTTGTGCTCTCGCGAACGAATCCATTAAGCGGTCAATAGAAAAATTATGTTCCAACGGAACAAAACTGTTGATGCAATTGAAGTGTTTGTCTCATCGGAATAATATATTTCTTTTAGGAAATATATATAGCAAAACAGAATAAATTCATTCGGCGACCGGGTTAAATCTTGAAATTAAAAGTGTAATCCGTTTTGTGAACTTGTGCATCAGATTCTGATACTGTCAGAAAAAATTAGCAATAACTTTTCGGTCTGATCCCATACATTATTTTTTTATTCATTTATTAATCCTGCCTTTGTTTTTATTTCAAACAGATGGTGAAACTAAAGAAGCTTTTGTGTTATATTGAAGTAATAACTCTCGTCCTAATAGTGGCTATGTTAATACATATGCAAATAGTTGGGAAAGTGGTCTGGATTCAAATCCATAACAATGGACATGACACAGCCGAACACGACTACCTGGTATCCTCACAATCGGACACTGACATCTGGCTCGCAAATCTGCAAAACAGGCCCGAGACTGAAACTAAAGCAAGGGGGGCAGTACCAAAGGATAAGAAGATACCCGTACGGTTAGAAACACAGACTCGGAATGACTGGTTACAAAAATTCCGCCTAGATACCCCATCATTACCAATAACCAACAAAGTAGGCCCAAGTAACGACCAAGGTGATAATATCAGCGATTTGTCACAAAATAGGTTCCCTAACCTTTCGAATGACATTAAGGAGCATAAAGGTAGTATTTCAAAGAAACCATTGTCTAACACGAAAGTAATCAAACACAAATACAAGACAATAGTTGTGTTAAATAGGCATATGTGGTTTCTCCGCGGTGCCAATCCGGGACACGGTTACTTTAGTCGTTGTGAATATAAAATGTGCGAATTGTCGTTTGATGAAAAAGAGATCAAATCCAGCGCCGCTATAATGTTTTACGGAGTAAGTTATCCGCCGAAACCGCCGCCAGCACGGAATAATCCAGACCAAGTGTGGATTCTTGCTGCATGGGAATCGCCAATTTACATGTATGGTGCTTCCTGGGAAAACGAAGTTTGGACAAATAAAATAAATTGGACTATGACGTATCGGATAGACTCTGACATACCTACACCTGGTGGAGAAGTGGTGGAGGATAAACGTAAAATACGGAATTATGATGTCATAATGAAGAAGAAAACTAAATTAATTGCATGGGTAGTTAGTCATTGCAGAACCCAAAGTAAAAGGGAAGCTTATGTCAAACACCTGGAAAAAGTTGTGCCTGTTGATATTTTTGGTAGATGTGGAACGTCTAAACCTACTGATGTATTTGGACTTTTAAACACAACGTACAAATTCTATTTGTCATTCGAAAATTCCCTTTGTAAGGATTATATTACCGAGAAACTATTCGATCGTCAAAATCTAGATATCGTGCCCATAGTGCGTGGAATTGGGAATTACACTCAGTTTTATCCAAAAGCATCTTACATAGATACGAGAGATTTTAAATCAGTTGAAGAGCTCGGTAAATATTTGCAGTATTTAGACAGAAACAATACTGCTTATGTACAATACTTGAAAGCGAAGGAACATCTTTACACACGCAGTATGTATTCGGTAAGACAGAAGGGTTATTGCACTATGTGTAAAAAGCTTCACAATTTAGATCAAAATAGACACAGTTATCCAGACATAAATCAGTGGCTACTCAAAGATAAATGTGTGAAGCCTACAGATATTTAAGCACTTTTCTAACATTCCAGGGGACTAACCGTAACTTGTTTGCATAATTTGAGACCAACATTGATGAAACCAATAGACAAAACTAATATCACTGTGTATATAATGTTTAATTATATGTGGCTGTTCCCCCTACATTCCATGACTCTAAATCAATCTGGTTTTCATAATTTCAGATCAGTATTGATGAAGCAGTTTTATGAAAAATGAAAACATGATTACCGTGTTTATAGTGGGCAATAAGGTGGGAATTTCCCTCATCATGTATATAATAATAAATTGTTACTTTTTGTACTTTTTTTGTGTGTATTAATTTAGGTGTTCCCCTGTGTTAGACACCCTATTATTACATTGCAATGCCCTTTTATGTTTGATCATAATAAAGATGATAATGAAATGCATATCAATATTTTCCATTTATGCACTCAGGTGATATAGTACGTACACATGAGCTGTATTTCCAATTATACGCTGACGATACTAATTCAAACCCTATGTTGACAATCATTTCATATTAATTTTCTAAATCATAACAGTGCATCGATGACATTAAACTTTGGATGACTTCAGATTTTCTTAAGATAAAACTGAATATCTATGAATTGGTTCTAAAAAATGTGCTTAGTAAATTCGACTCCGATCCTTCAATTCGTGTATGTAAGCTGTGATATCCCCCATCATAAACATAGGCGCCTTCTTTGACTCACATTTTATTATGGAAAATCATGTAAATAATATTTTGTAAGAATTGCCATTATAATGTAAATGTAAATATTTATCTGTAATTTCAAATGGTCTACCGGTTAAGCTACATTCAAACCTGCGGGTTATCACGAGTAAATAACTCCAATTCTTTATAGTCCTCATTGGCCTCCTGTATCATTCAGAATTGATTTTAAAATATTGTTAATCACATACGAATGTTTTAATGGTTTAGCCACTCCATGTTTGTCCAAATTAATACAAATATCTCTTCTAGTGGTGATTTACTCTTAGTACAACAGGGCCTTTTTATTTTATGCACCGTTATTTTCGGAAAGATTACCTTTGTTTTATTCGGAAATCACCTTCTGTTATTACATTAAAATCACATTTGAAAAATTTATTCAAACAGGCTTTTTACTGATTTTATACATTTTACTGTTTTATGTGTAGTTAATTTTTTTTATATAATATTACATTGCCTTTTCTTTTACTGTTTTTACTATTTTTTATAACTTTTCTTTTTATCATAAATTGTTAATATTTGGGATGGTATAAAGTACGCTTAAATAAGCGCAAAAATGCATAAAAACACCTGTGGTTTTTTTTTTGTTTGTCTGTTTATTTTTTTTTTTTTTTTTTTGCAATTTTGGGTGCTAAAATCCTAAACTGACTGGTCTACTATCAAATTAAGTGGGTTGGCGTTGAGCGGTTACCGTTCACTGCGGTGTACAGACCCACCCTATCATATAATTGTCGTACGTACGTGCGATGTGCAGACACACAACAAGGGAGACAATCCACAAACATAAAGCGGGTGCAGACCACTAAAACTTTACTTAAATTTACGTTGAGATGAAAGATCACCACTACTGAAGTAACAACATATAGTCATATCTTGCTCTAAATCAAGCACCCCCATTCAGATGGTTTGAAATATTTAGATTTGTTTTTTTGCTACGGGGATTTGATGTTGACTGGGGTCAAAATCTCTCTTCCGACACAATGATTTCTCTGCAGAAAGACACTTTGTATAGATATAAACTTGTAGAAACTATAGCTTTTAGTTGTTTTTTTAGGAAATAATTATGGTTTGTGGAAATGGTGATAATGTATGGGCTGGCAACGGTGAATTTATATTCCATTTTGTTTTAGATATTTTCACTCGATCCATTACAATGAGCTGTGGTTGCTGATTGGTATCATGTCTTGATGTCGTGGTGTCGCCCTTCATAAGGCGACAACCCGATATCACGACATTTTAACCCGACACAACGACATTTAAACCCGACACCTCAACATTAAAAATCTCGTACTGTCGCGTAATAATGTATTGTCGGGTTAAAATGTCGTGATGTCGGGTAAAATGTCGTGATGTCGGGTTGTCGTGGTGTTGTGATGTCGGGTTGTCGTGGCATCGTGATGTCTGGTTGCCGTGATGTCGGGTTTATCGGGGTGTGTTGTCGGGTTATCGGCCATATCTGATCCTGATGTTAGTCAAGAAAGTTCCCCGTGATTTTGCAGCGTGGTTTCTCCATGTCGGTAGTGCAGAACAAGAGGCCTGGCAAAGTAGTGTCTAGTTGTCATAGCACTCTGCAGTATGCCTTGTATCTTCAATAGGTTTTTTTGACTTTTCGATGTTAACAGGTTAGTTTCATTGCAATGTTCTTCTGTTGACAGTTGCATCTTTATTACTATGCTACTTCCAGTTTGTGTATCTCAAGATTTCCGTGGCGAACCTCATACATGCTTTTGAGCTAGGAGTTGTCACATGTTGCACCATCTGTGGTAGAAAGAAGTTTAACCCCACATAAATTTGGAGAAAAATTAGAGCCGGTCAAAGAGAAGATACTTAGGAAATTAATGCTACGACGTCTCCTGGATGAGACCGATTCCGCCACAAATCGAGAATTATCTCCTTTGGATATTTTCATGTGGACGTATATTGTCGTCGCCTCTGTCCGTCCGTCCGTCCGGCAACAATTGTTTGTGAACAGTCTACAGGTCACAATTTTTATTCGATTTCAATGAAACTTGAAATATAGGTTTATCACCCTAAGATCTCGGTTCCTTTCGATATTGGCATCTATCGGACCGTAACTTCATGGATTATGGCCCCTGATTGTACGAAAAATCACGTTTTTGGCTTGTGAACACTGTAGAGGTCACAATTTTTATCCGATTTTGTTGAAACTTGAAATGTAAGTTTATAACCCAAAGATCTCGGTTCCTTTCCATATTCGCGCATATCGAACCGTAACTTCCTGAATTATGGCCCCTGATTGTACGTAAAAACGCGTTTTTTGGCTTGTGGACCCTATAGAGGCCATAATTTTTATCTGATTTAAAAAACCGTATTATTATATCACCGTTACACCCAAAGGACGACTGAGTTTGAATTTCGTGAAAATCAGCCCAAAACTGACAGACAAAATGGCCGCCCCTCGTTCTCAAATTGCGTAAAAATATGGTATATCAAGGTTGTGGACCCTATAGAGGTCACAATTTTTATCCGATTTTGTTGAAACTTGAAATGTAAGTTTATAACTCAAAGATCTTGGTTCCTTTCGATATTTGCGCATATCGAATTGTAATTTCCTGAATTATGGCCCTTGATTGTAGGAAAAATCACTTTCGTTTTAGCTTGTTTTCTATCCATCTCTCGAAAATGTGGTCGTATCCTGCCTGACAGCCGCTGGTTTACTGTGAACGTCACACGGTTTTCACAATCCAATTGTCATGCCGATAATAGCGGATTTTTAGTTCAACAGCATCGGGACTCAAACGGCTGCCCCGTGTTTTTTCCGCCATTTTTAGACTAGTTTGCGTGCCTGATTTCAAGTGGCATGTCTACTGCATAAATTTTGGGCTCTTCCCATGTGTATTGGTATGGCCGATTTATTGACAACCCTGTGTCCTATGGTAACTTTATTCTTCATCCTTTGGAGGGCGGGGGGTCACGGTGGCTAAGTGGGCACCCTGGAGGTCGGGTGTTCGATCCCTGCATTGGCCGAGAAAGTTCATCCAGATTTTCCGGCATGGTTCCGCCTTGTCAGTGATGCAGGATGGAGGGCCTGACAAGGACGAAAAACCGAGGTCCCGTGTACACATTAGTGTGCATGTAAAAGATCCCTTGATAGTTGGAATTCGATATAAGAGTAGGCCGTAATGCCGCTGTCTGGGCAAAATTTCCGTCGTAGCACTGTATGGCGTATGCCCGTCTTCATTTGCCCAGTTCGGAGCAGAACAGTAGGACGTTAAATTCCATTTCATTTCCTTCGGAGGGCGCGATTCAAATTCAGCTTTTTGGCATTCGAGTGTTGAATAATGCTCACTGTCGTGACCGGGAGGAGGCAATTGCACGCATAAGCCCTACCCATGAAGTGGTTCAACTCAATCCTGTATGAAACTAGAGACACTCGATGGCTTAGTTCAAAGAATTGAGTTGTTGTTGGATGTTTGGCGCCGCAGGTTTCACATGTCAGGTGTTACCTCTTGTCACGTTTAAAAACACGAAATTTACAATCTGCTGATCTGTTCAACGAAATGGCACGTAAATTGTCATTGAGTACAATGACTTTACGTGAAGATGACTTAATATTTCGGCTTGGTTCCCCCTTGTCAGTGATGCAGGACGGAGGGCCTGACAAGGACAGATGTCTAGTCGTTCGGATAGGATGAAAAACCGAGGTCCCGTGTACAGATTGGCGTGCACGTAAAAGATATCTTGGTAGTTGGAATTCGATATAAGAGTAGGCCGTAGTGCCGCTGCCCGGGCAAAATTTCCCTCATAGCACACTGTATGGCGTATGCCAGTCTTCATTAGCCCAGTATAGGAGTAAGACGTTAAACCATTTCATTTCATTTCTTAATATTTCTGTATGTCTCTTCGGGGCATTCCTATGTCCCCCTCACCCCTTCTGCTTTATTTTATAAGTCCATTACTGGTATTATGGATGGTGTTCTCCTTAGCAAATGCTGTAACAAAAGTTACTATCGTAATACCCGTGGTGCCATCATTCGTATGTTTCGACGACGCGAGCAGGGCAGGTAAGACTTAATATCACTTTCTGGTTAATGGAACACTGAAAGTAGCCTACTAACCTACCCAATGATATGTGGCATGTGCCTATACTTTATCAACTCTAGCTCTGTGGCATATGCGCCAAAAGTATATAACCGGCATATGTGCCAATACTTTATATCCGGTATATGCGCCAACACTTTATATCCGGCATTATGTGCCAATACTTTAAAGCCTATGGCTGGTTTTAACGGCATTGCGCCTATACTTTAAAGCCTATGGGCATGCAGGGATAGCGACATATTATGTGCCTATACTTTATAACTTCTGGGCGTGAACATGTTTCCCCAATATTTTATTCCCTATGTGCGGGACAGCGATGTGCTTGTTAATTTTCTATTGCCTATTCAGTAGGGTTTAACACTTACAGTCACCATATACTTGTATAATATTTATTAGGCTTTACATATTTATCCCATGCCCGGATTAGGGCATAACCTTCATTCAATATTTTTTATTAGCCTAGCCCTACCTCTATATTGGTGATTAGAGCTTCACCCCATTGTTCATCTGTGATGAGTGGCAGGGGCTTCCATATTGTCTTATAGTTATCGTTACAATCATTTAGATACTTGTATTGTTAGGTTCACCATTATGCAGCCACAGAAAAGATCGCCGCGACTTGGAGGCAAACATGTCAATGGCTACCCCGAAGAAAACTCAGGTCAAACTACCTGTTTCATCCGAAGTGCCAGCAAAACGCAGTCATATTGACATTAATTAAATAAATATTATGCTTCCCAAAGATGGGGTACAGTATAACCCGGAGTAATTGGAAATTTTCCCCTTACAGTCATCCCTAACGCATGTTCATGTAAAAGAACCCCATGCCAAAGACACGGAGGGCCCTCTGTGAAATGTAAACAGAGTTACCTCCCATCCACCGTTCACCGTAAAGCCCATTTAATCCTGTCGCATAAATATCGCTTTTACGGTGACACGACGACGGACAGCAGCCAAGCTTAACTGATAAACAATTAATGTATAAGATAATTTGCAATTGAAAAGGTTATTTATTATCAATAAATGACAAATAAGTACTACATATAAATTAACAACAGTAATAGAACAATAGAAAATGGTACAAAATTAAGACACTGTAATACGTAACAAGGTAAATTGACATTAATTAAAAAAATATTCGGTTTCCCAATGATGTGGTACAGTATAACCCGATACAGGAGCGCCACGCATGGTGAGATTGACTAACCTGCTGGCACAGCCATATGATAGTTGGTAAGCCACAGCTCAACCATAGGCGTACGGGGAAATTTTTGACTGGGGGGGGGGGGGGGCGGTGGTCGTTGGTGCCCCAAAAATGTAG